CCATCAGTAGAACTGCTTTCCTTCCTCCTTGATCCACTAGTATTGACATCTCAGTCACATTGCTTGGCACTTATGTCTATGAAGCTCATTTGTTACACCTCTCTTCCTGCCCCAGCGCTCTTCGCGTTCCAGTTTTCAGATAAGTGCTGGCCATCCTGGACTATGTCTTTTGTCTTGTGGAGGCCATTTTCTTGTGTATTTGTTCTTTATTTTGGTAATTACCTAAGTGTAATTACCAAAGTGTAATTACAAGATGAGAGCTACGCTCGTGGTGTCCCATCTTCCCAGTACTCTTTGTCGTATAATGCTTTGAAACTACTGATGCTTTTGGCCTCCACCACCTTCTCATTTAACTTGTTCCAATCATCTCCCACTCTGTTTGCAAAAGAATACTTTTTCTATTTTTTCAAGAACACTTCGCAGCAAGATTGCAGCTCTTGCTTCGGGTTTTGGTAATATGTCTTGGGCTGTCATTTGTGCTTGGGGGTTTAAGTGATCGAACAGGGTCCTGGCCGCCCGTTATCTTGTGAATGTTCTGGGCCTTCAGCGGCCTTGTCGGTTGCAGCCAGTTGTCCCATCTTCGTCATGAGGAGTGTGGTGCTGCCAGCTCCTAGGTAAATCCCTCTTTTACTTATCTTTGGGTATCTAGCTCCAGGGAGCCGACAGGCCTCCCCCACAGAAAACCAGCATCCATTTTCTGGGTGAGCTCCAGAGGCTCTCTGGCACCCTCACTTCCTCTGGTCGGCAGATTTTGTTTTCATTTGCTCAGTCTTCGAACTGGTGGGCAAGCAGCCAGCTCAGGTAAGCACCCCCGTCCCCCCCTTCTGGGGGAAGGTGTGAATGAGCGTCATGTCGGATTGAAGATGTTTTGCTTGTTGCATTGTTTTTCTCGGGGGAGTTCTTGAGCTCTGTTCGGTCTTTGGTTGCAATTTTCTACCAGTTGGGATTTTGTTTCGGATGCCTACCTTTTTGGGTTCCTAATCCCGGTCGATGGCAGACGTGAATATACTCTCAAAGAGTGGAGTTTCATAGGCTATTACTCCCTGCACCTTTCTGATGGAGCCAGGTTCTGGCTCATGGTTCCTGGTAGGCAGAACTCCATGTAACTGAAGCTTCAGACTAATATTTCATTTATCAGTCCGATAACTCCAGGGAGTCTCCGGGGCTCTCCCGGAAATGGCATTTCATTTGATTCAACGCTGCTTTTTTGGTGGCTTTTTCTTTATTAGGGTGATCTACGATTCCCTGATTCTTACACCTCTTTAGAAGGAGGGGGTGGGGGGGCAGGTTTTGGCCTTGTATCCTCACTATATGACTCACAAGAGCCTGGCATGGATTGAACTGGTAGAAAGGAACAGGAAGCTACCAAAGACCTACAAAAGTAATGAAAAAGGCATTTCATTACATCCAACACTTATATTTTTTAATAATCAATCAACATTATTACATAACATTTACACGTTTGTAGTTTTATGGCCCTTTTTCTACATTCTTTTATATATCAACTTTGTCATTATCACTTAAGTATCTCTCTTTTTTTAATTCATCACAGTATTAATATTAGTGATCATCCTCCATGATACTGCAACTCATTTCAAGAAATGATTTATATATCGTTATTAAGCTTTTTTTTCTATAACTTTACCTATAAGTAGTTTTATTGAACTTCAACACAGCATACAGCATTTATCATCAGCGTCATTCATTAATATACCGTAATTTTGTTTTGTTCAACATTACTTTTCATTACATTAACATTACTTAAGATCATACAAGAGTGTATGATCTTTTCAGATCATACACTCATTTCTGGTAGTGACTTTATACACAGTTTTATTTTATTTCTCTTCATATTTTGCTTTTTAAATTGTTCTTTTCGCCTTTATGGGGGTTTAGTTAATAAACCCCTACCCCCCCCCCCCCCCAGCTGTAGCAAGAACTGTGTTCCACCTTTATCTATGTCACATATTGAATTGATTATTCGTTGACTTCACCTATTATAGCTGTTAGTGGTAGCACATCTACATTACAGTATACATTTATTCACTCTTAGTATATATAAGTGTATGTGTACTCTCTCTTTTAGTAAATATAACAGTGTGTGTGTACTCTTAGTATACATAACTGTATATATGTACTGTTTAAGTATACTGTACATTACAGTGTATGTGTACTCTTCTAGTATACATTGTAGTGTATGTGTGCTCTTTTGAGTATACATTGCAATGTATGTGTACTCACTTCAAGTATTCATTATTGTCCAGTGAACGTGACACTATAGATACACTATATTTACTTTGATTTAGGTGTTGAGAAGTGTGTGTGTGTAAAGTAGTGTGTATGTGTATGTGTGTGTCAAGTGTAGTGTTGGTACATGCACCAGTGTGTATGTGTGTGTGTGTGTGTAATTACCTAAGTGTAATTATGTGTGCGTGTGTGTGTCAAGTGTAGTTTTGGTACATGCACCATTGGAGTAAAAAAAATCTCTTAAATAAAAAGCTTCATTACATTGGTCAACTAATGCAGTCAACCCTCATTTATCTCGTCACATACATGAAAACAGTGTTATTATGTTTGCCAGCCAAAATGTTTTAATTAGATACCTTAAACTCTCGGTTACCTGGTAGCAAATTGTATTTTAGAAGTAAAGGAAGATATAACACTGGAGTCTATTAATATTCTCTTTACAAGATTCAGGCAGTGCACAGACATATTTGGTGAAATATGTTTTATTCATAGCCTATATGTTTTTGAGGTGTGTGCTTGCCTATCAGTTACTATGGGGGAGTGAGATCTAGATCTTTATGCCCTACCTACTAGACATTTAAACCTGCTCTACTATTTACCTCTTTCAACATTAAAGTTTCTATGAATTTTTTCTTAAAGTTGTGGATGGTACTGGCTTCAAGAACCTCTTCCTTCAGTGCGATCCACTTGTCGATTACCCCTAAAGGGTATAAAGGGTTCTCCTTTACCCTTGTACATAGAGATGCTATCCTTTGCATCTCTGTGGCTCAATTGTGTGTCCAATTTTAAACTATGTTCCTCTTGTTCTACCTCTTTTAATTTAAATAGACTTCCTTTTTCTACATTGTGTATTCCTTGGAGGATCTTGTATCTAGTGATTATATTCCCTCAATTTCTTCTTTCCTCTATGTTTGTGAAGGTGAATTCCTTTAACCTGTCCTCATAGCTGAGCCCTCTCAATTCTGGAACTAATCTAGTTGGAAACTTCTGTACTTTCTCAAGTTTAATTTGTTCTCTTATTGATTCATGTAGTTGTCTTCCCCTTTTGGTGTAGTTACCTACAGGTCTACTCTACTCTTTATCCATCTTCATTACCTTACACTTACTCAAAATGAATTCCAGCAGCCATTTATCTGCTCATTTCTGAAGTTTGTCAAGGTCTTCTTACAACATTCTAAAGTCTTCTTTAGTTCTTACTTTCCTCATTAATTTGGCATCATCTGCCAAAATTGACATTTAGTGAGTTGTCTCCCTCTGGTAGGTTGTTTATATAAATTAGAAAAAGCAACAATCCTAAGACAGACCCCCCTGTGGAACACTATTTTCCACTCCTATCCAATCTGACACATTCTCTGATTATGGCTCATTATTTCCTTTCCATTGCCCCTGACTCAGTCCAATATCTTTTGCCACTTGTCTCTCCATCGTGCATATTTTCTAAGGCCCTTGTACAGTCTAGGAAGCTGCAGTCTACCCATCGTTCATTCTCTTCTGCTAGTTTGGTGACCCAGTCATAGAATTTAATCGGCAAATACAGATTTATAGTAAATGTGATATACTGTACTCTCAATATTATATATGTAGATTTACATAAATTGTCCTTGATTAATGCTTTCAATAAAAATCACTTTAATTATGATATGAGTGAAGTAATGGTGGTGTTTACTTAAACATCTATATTCTTCATAACATAACTTTAAATATGAAATGGGTTCTGATCAGCATATATTTATTCTTTATATGAAAGCACTGACATGTGAAAATATATATGTAGAATTTGTATAAGCTAACTATAGTATTCATAGTGATAGTAGATGTGGGAAAAACTACAAATTTTATCTATAGATATGATGAATGAGTTCCTAAAAGATAAAGGTGCTAAATAAGATCTTTCAGAAAGAAGAGTTGAATATTACATATATACACACACATGGTCTGTAAACCACCGGTCAGGAATTAGGAAAACTATCCCCTACATGTTATGCAGTAAAGGAATGGAGGCAGTGAGTTCACTTGAATTTACTGAGCACTGTGAATATCAATGATATTCTGTAAGAAAGTGAAAACATCTGTTTATTTCCTTTCATTGTATTAAAGTTTTGTATGAATGTGATAAAGGTTATATTACACTTGATATACCCTACGCAACTCTTCCCTGTAAACATTTACGCTCGTCTCGTGGTGAAAGGAGTGCAAATAGTAAATGGGCAGGTATTCTACAAATATAAAATAATGTATAAGAGTATTTGAAAATTAATCCTCAGTAGAGTGTGCATTATTTATACGACATCTTGAGCTAGGAACAATATATATATATCATCATGGTAGTACAGTATTATGTATCATAACAAATTACCTTGGTGGTTTCCTGAGGGTTGATAGTGTCTGGATAAATGAGGGTTGACATTTCCATTCACATGAAAATATTTTATATTATTAAGAGGTAAGCCCAAACATTTTTCATTGTGTATTCAAAATGAGAGGATCTTGTATCTAGATGATTTAAAATGCAACACATTAATTCCTAAAGTGCCTGTATGGGCTAAATACAAAGGGCAAGTCGTCTTAATATTTAAAATTAAAACTCTTCAAATGTAGTTGATCTAGAAAGCACTAATATTCTCAGTGGTACAGTTCACCTGAATTATTTACTCACTTAATATTGATGTTTTCACTGTACCAGAATAAAGATGTTCCTCCCACATGACTTAAGATTTGCACTAACCACTGACACCCTTGCATCTCTCTAACAGGTCATAGATTTAGGGGTGATATTCCACCCTGGATCGTACCTCAGGGATTTTTGGAACATAATGGACTCCGTGGTTGTCATATGTGCCGCCGTTTCATTTTGTTTTGATATGATGTGAGTAGATGTGCACCCTGGTACATTGTTTGTTTCATTTGTTTTAGGTTTCATCTAACCTAGCAAAATCCCATGTTATTGATATATAGTCATTTATGTTACCTAAAAAGTGTGCTGTGTTGTTGATAATGTGATTTCTTGTTTATTTTAAGGCTCTAGTATTATCTGTTAGGTTCATGGTACCAGTTGTATCATGCAGGGGGTTAGTAGTCTTATCAGTATTTTACTTGGCTTGGTGGATTACTGATCAGTATCATCCTTGGATTGCTGATGTTGGTATCATCTTATGATTACTAATGCCAGTATCATCCTTGGATTACTGATGCCAGCATCATCCTTGGATTACTGATGCCAGTATCATCCTTGAATTACTGATGCCAGTATCATCCTTGGATTACTGATGTTAGTATCATTCTTGGATTACTGATATTAGTATCATCCTTGGATTACTGATGCTAGTATTACCCTAGGATTATTGATGCAGGTATCATCCTTGGATTACTGATGTTAGTGTCATCCTAGATTTAGCAGTAGTGTGTAATAATCTTGAATTTCATCATCTGGTGTTGATACCGATAGGTTTTGATTTGTGGTACTTTGGATATCATTATCAGGCTAATGCTGTTGATATCCTTAGATGAGTAGTACCATATTCATCAGTATCATCTATGGAGACAGTTACTGGTATCCTTGTACTTAGGGCATTCATCCTTGACATTTTTTTCTGTTATTTAGTACCATCAATTTCCCGTCACTGGTCTTCATCAATATTACTGGGTTTGTGGAACATTTCCACGTTGTGGTACTTGTCACCATAATTCCAAAGGGTTTATAGCATTCTTCTCTGTAATATTCATTATTATGCATGACAATCTCTCTTCTTTTCTTGGAATTAAATCATATATTTATTTGTAATCTTCTGTTAATGGTACTTACTGAAGTGACGATAATCTTTAGAGTACTTTAAGTTATTGTATAACGATGCTTATCGGTGCCATGCAAGAACTAATATTAGTCATCCTTTCTACCTTTTGACTGTTGATAAAAAAAAAATTGCATTAAGAGACAGTTGTATCTGCTTATATCACCGATCAATGATTTTCACCAGTATCATATCACGAGTGATGATTCAGAGGTATACACAACAAGTAGTAGGGTTCCTTGTGTATGTAGTACCCATTCTGTATGACCGACTCAAAAGTTTTTACTCTCATGTTACTAACTGAATTCCATAATAGATGTTAGGGAACAGTGTGTTAATATCTTGTTGTTGGCACTTGCATATATCACTCTTAGGGTGATATTACTCTCCATTGTTATTTATGAGTCCTAAATTCATAATGGTAATGTTCCATGCGTTATTGAAATGGTACCTGTTTGGAGTTTGGCTGTACAATGTACAGTTTTTACAAGAAATTTGACAATATGCACTCCTATTGAAATAGAAGCTTTGAACTTGTATTTGAGTCAATGACAGATTATATAATCTGAACAGTGAATTGGATACTTAACCTAAGGATCATGAAAACATTGGACATAGGCCCATGAAACTACTCTTTAGACACAGGGTAATGAAACTAGAAATGTCCAAACAGTGCAAATTTTGTACCATGTATCCGGATAGAACAGTGGTGCATGGATCTGTGTCAAGCATTCCCACAATCTCTAGGTTAGATAACAGGATCTAAGTTCAGATGATTGACATCTGTCAGTGAACTAAATTCAAGTTCCCATATTCTTCTTAATATATTTACCTGCTTTGGTGGATGTCTTGAAAAGCACTACACATTGTACATCAAACTATAAGCTGATACCAAATGTGTAGTGGCATTCAGTATAATTCTTCTGGGTTCTTGACACTGATGTGTATTATTCTTGGGGCGGTAGCACTCATGCATTTTCCAGATGTGGTGATGCTTAAAAATATATTACTGAAATGGTGGTACTTATGTATTACATGGACTGGTGTTGATGATTTGCATCTCCTTGGGTTGTGATACTCATGTACAACTTCTGTGCAGGGGTTGTGGTTCTCTTGCATATCTCCATGTGATGCTCATTTGCATCTCTCCTGGGGCAGAGATTGCTGTATGATACTTGTATGCATCATCTGTGCTGTAGTATTCATTTACAGCGTTTCTTAGGTTGTGAAACTGAAAATAACATGTCTGTGGATGGTTATACTTATCAGTATCAGACATGGGTTGTTTTACATCCTAGGAGCTATTCTTGGGATTATATTTTCTCTGAGCATTGTGTTAGGACTTTGTACTACACTTCTCACTTGCGTGACTCTTCTTGTAGCACTTGATATTGTTAGTTAGTTATTGTAAACATTAATTGGTGTTGAACTGACGGTACTTCATAGTATTTGTCAAGATAGAAAAGTATGATTATAAACTTATTGACATTAGTCATCTGATCAGTTCATTCTAAAGTTAATGGTGCTAATAATCATTTTGAGTTAATGGAACTCACACTTTTAGAATAATTTTTCTAGTTAATAGTTTTATCGTGCATCTTTATTGGCTTAGTAGTAATTATTGGTTTAACACTTAGTTTGGGGAACATCTTTGCATTACTGTAGCTATAAATTTTGTTACATGTAGATGTCACTGGTATTTGATACTCAATAGTATTACTTCTCATATGGTGGTGTTTAATATGTGGCAATCTAATATAGTCCTCTCTTACACTAATGCAGTAGGTCCATAGAATTCATAACATTTTGAAGTTTTGCCAAATTATAATGAAATAGATAATTTCAAGATAAGTTTGACCTTAGGTAAATATTGTAGAGGTCTCATTAAGAAAACTTCAGTAATAGATTTAACAAAAACATTGGCTTGTAAAGCAGTTTAGAGGTACAATATTTAATTTTGATATTTACACTCTATGTAAGAGTATTTCAAGTTAATTGACGCTGGTTGTTTTACTGCTGGACTCTTGGTCCAAATCATAATTTTAAAAATTGGAGCTGGCAGTCTGCTATATTGAATGTTTAATGACTTTATGCATTAGATATGTTAGTCACAGCAAAACTACATATCCTTCTTGTTGAATGATCAGTCTTTTACTAAGTCTTTGAATCATTGCAAATTATTGTTAATTGAAATGGTTAGACAATTTGTAAAGCTGGTAAAAAAAAAAATAAAGTATGTTGAAATCACCATATTATCAGTTATTGATAGCTGATTTGAGTTTAAAGTTAATTGATCTTTAGAAGTCATTTCCTGGACCATGATATAACTATATGTGTATATCACCCACAAATGGTGTTGTGAGGGAGTGTTACACTGTGCAGTAAGATTGGTTTGGACGGTGGCATTCCTACTACCATATCACATCTAGTAGTATTCAAATTTATCAACTTTGAATGTTGGTACTTGCATATCTTTCATTAGTTTTAGGTAATAAGCACTTAATAGTCTCAGACCTAGGATGATAATACTGTATTCAGTTTTACTGTTATTTTGGTTTTCACTCTAAGTGGTGTCATTTCTTGGCTTGATGGTGTATAGGAGTATCATTCTTAGTGTGATGTTGCTCACCTATATCACTCCTCACTTGGAAGTACTGTACAGGACAGTACTTGGTAGCATCATATGTTGACGTCTTATTTCCAAGTTCATTCATAGGCTAGTGATTCTCACCAGTAATTCCCCCAAAATTATTGTTGTTTCGCTTTCTGTTGCTTTGGAATTCTATGAACTTATCATCATCAGCATTTGTTGGTGTTTGATCACTAGATGATCTTGAATAGTTGTTATAAGTGGAAAGGTTTTTCCTAAACACTGCTTGAATTAATATCACAAAGTGAGATGTGAATTGTGCATGATTTGCATTTAGGAAGGCCAATATCTTTATATCACTTGATGTAATGAAATGAAATGTGTAGTAATGTTCTGTGTTGTTTTTTAAACTTGGTTTCTAATCTTGATTGTTTTGAGACTACTGTAAATGAGGATCTATTTGAAATTCTATTTCCTTATGAAATAGATTGTAAGAATTTGGATTTTTTAAATCTGATAATATTAATTGAAGTTTGTAAGGCTGTAGCCCCATCATTAATGTACCCTCACAAAGAATAACTTGTTTATGCCTTGCTTTAGAAATAAGCAGTGATTCAAAAATAACATTTTAAGCTTGATTTGCTTTTAAAAATCCGTGTTGGCGAGTGTATTTTATACTTCCAGCATAGTAGTTATTTTGTCTGTGGACCCTGTCATTTAAGTTTATATGGAAGCCCTTGTGTAGATTTGTTGAAGATTTAAAAAACATTTAAAAAAACATTTAATGAAAGTGCAATGGTGAAAACATATTTTGAAAATGTTTACCTATTAGCACAATGCATCTTGGTGAATATGTTTTATGTAAGCATTAAGAAAGGTAAACAAAATTTCTGGTGTAGACATCACACAATATTTCCAAAGCTTTCTATATCACAATACACTGAGCCTTCTTCTGTAGATGATAGTCATTGTTTTATGACAGGTCCTACTTTACATTATTCCAATGAAAATGGCATTACATATATACGAAGAAAAAATTTGTTGACAACTATTTCCTTAAAATTTCAATTGATCTCTGTCCTAGGTATTCTGTTGTTTACACATCATAATAATTTCAATGTTTAATTAAATGCATGCCCCCCTATCTCACATTGTTGTTGTTCACTGCTTTAGGCTTGTTGTAAAAACAAAAATTGTCGTCTTCCTTCTCTATTTTCTTGTCCTGTTACCAGTTCCTTGACTTCTTTCTCTATATTCCCATTCAAAATTTGTATTTTATCTTTACAAGTAAAAAAAATATTGTGCTTCATTCATCACCACCAAACAAATTTTCATCCAGTACATAAAAATTTATTCTTAGTTATACTATAATATTTTCCCATTTATAAATTTTAATTGTTTTCATTGGCTCATACACACACACACACACAAAAATTAGGTAATTACACACACACACATACACATACACATATAGTGGTAGATGGTTGG